CTTACAGTTCACCTAGTACAAGTTCTCTATAGCTCAGTGGTAGAACATAAGATTATAAAATCATCATAAAAAAAGTCTCTCTTTTTATAACTTTATTACTTTTAATTAGTACTTTATTAATTAATTATGGGATAATTAACAGAAAGCAATATCCCCTGCCCACAGTTAGCAGATTAGCTAGTAGAGGCGAGCAGTGGTTACACGTTTTTTGTATATATATATCAATACAAATGGCTCACAAGAAAGACTAGAGAAAAAGAGTAAAAAATTTTATAATAAATAAATAAACAAATAAATAAAAATAAATTCAATTTAATTAAGTTTACATTGCAAATATAAAAAGCCAAGTTTTCAGGAAATTTTTGTTATTAAGTCAGATAAATTTCAGCCAAGAAAATTCTTTGCTTGGCTGAGATGCCTAAGGGGGCTTCTTGTGACGCCAGTTGAATTTGAAACTTAAATACCACCCAAAGTGGATAGTTAGAAAAAGGAAAAGAAAAGAAAAGGATAGAAAGGAAAGCGGTAGAGAGTAAAGATTGTTTAAAATGAAGACTGAAAACAAGTACTGCAAGTCACCTATTTTCCTCAACTGTCCATGTGCTTTCCTCTGAGTTTACTTTCGCATAAAGAGGACCACTCAACAAAACTTCTGTCCCAATTTGAAGGTCCACAGAATCTGCTGTTATATTACAGGTTATTTCATTTTTCTTGGTTCCTTCTGGTAGATCAAATTTTATTGTGATATCTTCACTGTCCTGAGACCATTTGTATACTTTTGCTGAAGAACTGTGGGACTCTACCTCAGCCATACCTGATGGCTTTTCCTCACTGTCACCTGATAAAAAAACAGAAGGTCATGTCAAATAAGAAATAACCTTTTTTTAAAAAAAAAAATCTTCACTAAACTTAACCCTTTAATCCATAAGAGAGACAAACATCTAATTTCTTTATACAATATCACCCCTGAAACACGTATTAAGTTTAGGAAGAAGAAATCTCTCAATATGCGTCGTCGATGTGCCAGACAAGTTCATTACCACTTGACGCCAAACGGATGTGAGTAAAAAAAAAAAAAACCTGAGAGGAAATGGGAAATGATCGCTACAACATTAAGAAAATCTTCACTAAACTTAACCCTTTAATCCATAAGAGAGACAAACATCTAATTTCTTTATACAATATCACCCCTGAAACAGGTATTAAGTTTGCGAGAGTAAAGGAAATAATTGCCAACAAAAGAAGCCTTTGATTGTTATGCACTGATCAATTCAAAGCTTCAACATTCTTCCTTACATGGGTGTTTCACTCTCATCCATGCCTAGGGGATTGGGAATTTGAAGCTTGCCTGGCTGGGGTGGGGAATTTTAACCAGAAGTGTCAAGTCTTGGCAATGGAATACAAGTTTTATATCTTTTAATATGGAAGTGTTCAAGGCAAGTACTTCACTTTCACATGTGAATGGCCCTGAAAAAAGATCAACAATGTCTAGTTAAACCTTGGTCAATGTTTAGAAAGACACAGTTACTGATTTTGTCTTTTGCATTAGTGGGCATTCAAACACAATGTTTGCAGGGGAGGGGGGGATAGGGATTTGGACAAGCAAATCTTCAAAAGTTCAAATGACCATGGAATTACCCAGGTGGGAAGCTTCGAATTGATGGACACCTTAAACAAGAAAATTATCCAGCTGTTATGTCGTATATTCCCTGTTATAGCACTCCAAACAAATGTAAATCCCACAAATTAATAGGCTACCTTTCTTTAGAGAAAATGGTCTTTCACTTGCCACTAAAATAGCTGTACCACCACACTCAATCCCAGCATACACTGGTGCACTGTGACCTCTGAACTGCTGCAACATCTCACAGTTGTAATTTGCAGAACTGGTTGCTGAGTAATTGACTCGTGAAAATGTGATCAACTCTAAATTAACAAGGTGAGCATCTTTCACTGATGTAGAAGCAACATTTTCTGTGATACTCAATAACAAGCAATTGACACATCCAGTTTCTTGGTTTTGAATAGCATGAAGGATCACAGATGGCTGGTCAATCTGGTAAACTGTGCAAACCTTCCACACTGTATTCTGGGAAATATCACCTGTTCTGTCACCTGTTTGCAGCAAGTAGAGTTTCCCACTTCCATCCGACAAACAAGCCAGAGATTGTGAAGGAAAAAACAAAGTCGTGTTCAAACTTTCTTTAGTTTTTTCTACTGCTGCTGGTTTGAATACTGTATCAATGAATGAAACATCTTTGTCCTTAAAATTTCAAAGAAACATTAGTTAGATATTTTTCATTACTTTGAAAGTTTCATAATTATTCAGATTTTCAATTCCCTCTTTAAGCAATCCAAACCTGTATAAATACACCCACAAAAAAATAGGCAAAACATTAAATATTAAAAATACTGTATATTTGTTAAGTATTAACATCAAAATCTATTTTAATCTTGTCCCATGCCAATTTTTAAAATACTTAGAACAAAGGTTATGGGTCAAATCACACATTAAAATGAATTTTCAAAATAGGACACTCTTGCTGATAACTTCTGATGGGGTGTCTCAAAAACTCAGACCTCAAAAACTCAAACCTCAGACCCTAAAATCTCAGACCCTCCGGGTGTCTCGAAAACTCAGACCCGAAAAACTCAGACCCTCTGGGTGTCTCGAAAACTCAGACCTGAAAAATAAAACATGTTTACACCACGTGAATGCCGCAAGCCAACTTGTTTACTGTTCGTTGATAGAGTGGCATTATGAGCACTGATCATGAAAATTATCTGCCGAGAAAAGAAAAAACAGTTTGCAGTGGGTTTAGGTACGTGCTACAATCATGAAAATTATACTCAACATACGTATAGATTTTTCTTTTCGTTATCGTATAAGCCAAGTTTATATCCACAACGTGTCATGTCATTAGAAGCTATTCGCGAGGTGCGTTGCATGATGGTTCCCTGTACAAATACAGGACCCGCATCAGCATGACAGTAGCGGCAGATATTTGAAACCGAATACAACCTTCCAGGGTCCTTATACTTCCCTCATTTTAAAGAATAACTGTGTATAAACACTGTGTATAAACACTGTGTATAAACGGTTCTTTGTTTATGTTTTCTTTAATATAACATAAGCTTTTAAATCAATGTTCATGGTCAATTATGATAAGACATTATCCATTCATGGTTGCATTTTCNTTTTTTGGAAACAACATTGCAACAAAACTGAACACTGAAATAACATTGCAACTGTTTGTTTTGAAATAAAAAGTACTCATCAAAACGATTGGTTATAAAATCGATTGCTGGTAAAACCACACTTGCTCAAACAAATGACAGCAATCTCAATACTTTTACAGACAGACATATCATTTAGATTACAGGTTTAACAAAAACGATTTCTCCTCAACCATTAATGGTCTATTCTGCTCAAAATTCAATGCAGGTRACTCAATCACAAGAATTTCTCGAAGTATAAGGACTGCAAAAGTTTATATCCACTACTGTCGAGTGACGCCGGTCCTGTATTTGTACAGGAAACCATCACACAACACACCTCGCGAATGGCTTCTAATGACACGACATGTTGTGGATATAAACTTGGCTTATACGATAATGAAATGAAATATCTATACGAATGTTGAGTGTAATTTTCATGATCGCTGCACGTGTCTAACACTGCAAGCTTTGTTTTCTTTTCTCGGCAGATAATTTTCATGATCACTGCACATAATGCCACTGTATCGACAAACAGCAAACAAGTTGGCTTGCAGCATTCGCACGGTGTAAATATGTTTTATTTTTCGGGTCTGAGTTTTCGAGACACCCAGAGGGTCTTAGTTTTTTGGGTCTGAGTTTTCGAGACACCCAGAGGGTCTCAGCTTCTCTGGTCTGAGTTCTCGAGACACCCAAAGGGTCTGAGTTTTCGAGACACACAGAGGGTCTGAGTTTTTCAGGTCTGGGGTCTGAGTTTTCGAGGTCTGAGTTTTCAAGACCCCCATTCCGCTGTTCTCTTCACCTGTCTGCTTAACAATGCATTGATATTGCAAAGAGAAGCTACACTTTAATCACTACTTAGAGTTTAAGAGTTAACTGTTGGAAAAAGTTTCTGATGTTCCATCAAATTCTCCTTGACCACATGAAAGGAAACTGACAGAAAGCTTCACGCTTCATCTGGTAACAAATAAACGTTCGTGCAACTTTCAACGATACCGTTAGTTTTTGCCTTTCGATTTTTTCATTATATTTTACGATTTTAATTATTAGTTGACTCACTTTTACAAATACCCTTTGGACTTCGTAGTTTTCATTCACGAAATAAACAACTTCAGTTTTCCCGCAATCAGTCCAAGAGTCGATCACCAGATGGTTGCGATTTCCAAAAGCTCGAATGTGTTGAAAGGAAAATGATTCCTCTCTGAGCGGTACATTGTTTACTGCAGAAGCTAAACTGGTGGAAGACAGTGTCAGGGGGTCCAAAGCAAGTTTGTAGCCTTCAAATTTTGGATCCAATAGCTCCCGATTTGGACGAAGAGACTCCATCGTGAGTATACTCATCACCAGACTATCACATAGTCTTCGAACGAGGAGACAGTCTGGGGGATATCATGGAGGGCTTGAAAAGTTCAAGTTCAAAGAGCAAGTAAAGGAGAAGATAAAAATGGCATCAAAAGGAGTACAAATTCTTTAAAGCAATAAACTACAAAGAAGAGCGTAGTTCAGTTGCCTTTTCCTGTTGGGTGTCTTTTTGATGTAATGGCCGTATCACAGACATAACTGTAACTTGTATGTGACCAATGAAGTTCAAGCCGACACTCGACAGAGTCCCTTTGTAATGAGCCAATGATATCTCGACCTGTGGCACAGCTTTGTTAGTCTTCTTTAAAGCTTCTGTTACTGACGACCTAGCTGTAACGATGGAACTCGTAGTGCCAGCTCCTCAGTTCAGTTCGTTTAGTAACGCACTAAAAAATTTAGGAAGAAGAAATCTCTCAATATGCGTCGCCGATGTGCCAGACAAGTTCATTACCGCTTGACGGCAAACGGATGTGAGTAAAAAAAAAAAAAACCTGAGAGGAAATGATCGCTACAAAATTAAGAAAATCCGGAGAAACCATATACTGAGAAAACCGAAAATTTTCACTTCGCTTCCTTTTATCGTTTAGCTTTTTGCGGAATGGAATAACGATTTTTGACGCTCAAAAATATTATGTAACGAAACATTGCATTAATTGTTTTGGCGCAAGTGATTTATTTCATTCTTCATCGGACTTGTTCGAACAACACAATGTTTACTACATACTTAAAAGGGTTAAGAGGTTGCAGAACAGTTCCTAGGGCCGCTGCACGAAATATGAAAAATTAAAGTATCTCCTCTCAATACTTAGATCTCTTGAAAAAAACAAATGTATTGATTCTGAAGCAAAAACATGAAAATTGGTAGTCTACAAGCGTGATATCGAGCACTATTAATTTAGCATTACCGGAAGTCTAATATTGTTAAAATACTCACGATGGTCCCCTCCATTAATTTTATACTGTAATGCTCTTTGAATTATAAACCAACGAAAGGGATACAAAGGAAACTTTATTTCCCCAAGATTGTTTTCAAAACAATGCGTAAGAAAGTTGTCCCACCTTACTCTGCCGGACATCTTAGTCTAACCACCCCCTCCCCTAAAAACAAACCCGGGATGCGGCTGTGCTTGAATGAATGCTCAAGATACTGGAACGAATTAATAGACCGCACCCCTTCCGTTGCTATGGTATGACACATTCCAGATGACATAAATTTATAACACCGCATGAGTTCAGTATCGCATAAATTTATAAAAACGCGACCTGTTCAGTATCACAACGGCAGACACCGTGTCAACCTTCGTAGTGCAATTAATGCTACTAATCAGAGAATATCATGCCATAATGTTTATGTGCGGTTTATTGCGGTCTCCTCGAGAAAAATTGTCACTAACGCCTTCGAAATTTGCATTTTGCTTGTTCAAAGACATCACATGTCAGCATAGCAAGATTTTCATTGGCTAAGCTTTCATTTGGCTTTGTCTTATGCACAATAGCTTTCAGGTGTCGAGTATCACCAATAAACGCAATCAACAACATTCGATGGCTGGCTCGCTTACGTCACATAAGCACTACTTTATATGGATGTGGGCCTATTGTTGGCACACAAAGCCTCGCATAAATTAGTCGTTACATATAACCGCGCCAGAATCTCCCCGACGACATATTGCAAACTTTAAAGACATCAGACAGTAGAACTTCCTTCGTTCGCTCAAAAAAATTTTCCAAGATGCGAGAAATTGTTCATCTTCAGGCTGGCCAGTGCGGTAACCAAATCGGAGCTAAGGTATAAAGCTACCTAAAAGCAGAACTTAATGATTTTCGTTCGTGTCCGCTCATATTTTATTCTCGCTTTTCAGTTCTGGGAGGTTATCTCGGACGAGCACGGCATCGATCCAACTGGCACTTACCACGGCGATTCCGACCTCCAGTTGGAAAGGATCAACGTTTATTATAATGAAGCTACAGGTAACTGTCAAATTGTGATGTTAGATCATCTAGATCTTCTTTTCAGACCATGTTCGTTGCCGCTTTCGCTTCACATTCTAACCTACGGCCGTGCTAACCATAGTTGTCGACTCATCAAATATTTTAGGTGGAAAGTATGTTCCCAGAGCTTGTCTCGTCGATTTGGAACCCGGTACGATGGATTCCGTTCGTTCAGGTCCCTTCGGACAAATCTTCAGGCCAGACAACTTTGTCTTCGGTGAGTTCAAGCTTCGATTTCATAGTTTCAAATTATCAATCCAAGGAAGACTCATTGTTAATCAGCAACACCCTAATATCCGAATAACGTGTTGAAACATCGCCACGTTTCATCATAGGTCAAAGCGGAGCTGGAAACAACTGGGCTAAAGGACACTACACCGAGGGAGCTGAGTTGGTAGACTCTGTACTCGATGTGGTTCGCAAAGAAGCAGAAGGCTGTGACTGTCTGCAAGGTTTTCAACTCACACACTCGCTCGGCGGCGGAACCGGCTCGGGTATGGGAACCCTTCTCATTTCGAAGATCAGAGAAGAATATCCTGACAGAATCATGAACACCTTCAGCGTCGTACCGTCACCAAAAGTATCAGACACCGTTGTGGAGCCTTACAACGCCACTCTGTCCGTACATCAGTTGGTTGAGAACACAGATGAAACATACTGCATCGACAATGAAGCACTTTACGATATCTGCTTCCGAACTCTGAAGCTCACCACACCAACCTATGGCGACTTGAACCACCTTGTATCAGCTACCATGAGCGGTGTAACAACTTGCCTTCGATTCCCTGGCCAGGTAAATGTTGATTTATTTTATTTAAAAGCGATAACAAACGAAATTTTTTAACCCAAGATGCGACAAAGAGCAGTATTTTCGACGGTTAGGAAAAGGGCGCGCTGCCAGTGGTTGCCAGTTATCGATTTGAAACAATTAATCGTGTGCACACTATCTGTAACAGCTTCTCATTTCAGCAAAGCTAGATTTACCGGAAAAAACGCACAGTTACGGCGATATTTGTTGTTTAGGGCTGTGCTCAAGAAATACTCGAAGGAACAGTAATGCGTTAGTTATGTTATGCGGGGAAGAGTCCGAAACGGCAGTGATTGTCGCGCGTGTCAAATTTCCATTACCTTTGTCCCCTCATTTTTCGAGGAAAAAAATTAAAGTTAAGTCTACATAGCAGTTACAAACTAAGCATAGGCGAAACGTATGTAGTCTTGGCATTAAACCACGCCATAGAAGATAACTTTGATTACTGCTTTGACTACTCAAACAAACCATGATTATGATAAGCCGCTTAGTTCGGCGACTCGTCTACGACAGACAGCTGCTTTTCTTGTCTAAAACTTCGTTTACTACTTCCATCCTTAAAAGAAACTTTAAGTAAAATTTTATTTACGAGTTGATAACGACAGATTCTGTCAATTTTTGTTCAACGTTAGCAACGGAGTTGAAAAATTACTGTAGAATAATTTATTGGTTTGTTGAATTGGGAAAAAGGGCCCATTCAGGAACGCGTCCCCTAAGAATACAACAGTAGATTGCTCTCAATTATTAATCACGGCGACGATAGGATACTATTTTCAAGTTCTTCATAACAAGTTAAGGAAGGAGGCAAAAATTAAATTTACAATCTCTCAGCATACAAAAATGATAAGAATTAAACCGTGTGACGAAATTTTCTGAAAGCTAGAAAGGCTCTTAAGTTTATTAAAAACCTTTCCATTTTCAAAGTGATTTACGTCGTGTTTGGGGATTTCTTGCTCGCTCATTTTTGCAAAGCCCTGATTTTGCCGTTTTTATTCCAAGATCTGTTCGCATAGCAACAAGCGCGTAACTCGAAACTAAAGCGTTGCCAAGCGAACCAAAATTCAGTGGTGTAAGTCAATCTATGTCAACAAACGCAAACAAACCTTTTACGAAAGAAGGTTAAAAACCACATTCATACAGAATTTGGTTAAAGAGTTTTGTTTTTACATCCTGGTCATGTTGCGTGAGCAATGCCCTAAGAAAGTTGTCGTACAGCGGACGGAACACAGCAAGAGGTGGCAGTTGTTTCGATTTGATAAAGCAGTTAGCGATCGGTGTTTAGAAGATTCTTGGATAAATACTGCATGAAGTCTGTAAAACATCAGCAAGAACTGTAATACGATTAACTAGTTCACCCTTTTAAAAATGAACTGATTGAATGGTGCAATGTTATTTACATGTGTTTGTGTTTTCCACCTCTTTGCTTCGACGAGGAAAATAAACACACTGCCAACACAATCTCAGCAAGTGCCTTAATAATTAATGACAAATTCCCAAATCTTACTGTACATTTTGGAAGAAGTTTTACTAAAATAGTTTGACCGTTAGTATCTTAAATTTTTCACTGGAGAAAGAAATGAGAACTGAAGCAACGTAAGCTTCAAAGCTTATTTTACCCGTTATATTTCTCAGTTGAATGCAGATCTCAGGAAATTGGCAGTGAACATGGTTCCTTTCCCGCGTCTTCACTTCTTCATGCCTGGATTTGCTCCCCTCACAAGCAGAGGATCCCAGCAGTACCGTGCACTCACTGTACCAGAGCTTACCCAACAGATGTTTGACGCCAAGAACATGATGGCTGCCTGTGATCCAAGGCATGGACGTTACCTAACTGTGGCAACAATGTTCCGTGGCCGTATGTCCATGAAGGAAGTTGATGAACAGATGTTGAACGTGCAGAACAAGAACAGCTCCTACTTTGTGGAATGGATCCCCAACAATGTGAAGACCGCTGTCTGTGATATCCCTCCCCGTGGATTGAAGATGTCCTCTACCTTCATTGGCAACAGCACAGCCATCCAGGAACTGTTCAAGCGAATCAGCGAACAGTTCACCGCTATGTTCAGGCGCAAAGCCTTCTTGCATTGGTACACTGGAGAGGGTATGGATGAGATGGAGTTCACCGAGGTAAAGACTTTGTTTTTCGAGCTAATTAAGGATAAAATTAACTAGAATTGAACGTCGATCTTCAAAACTTATTGCAAACGATTTGTTCCTTCAAGTAATGAGTTCGTAAAACTTCTTTGCAGGCTGAATCCAACATGAACGATCTTGTTTCTGAGTACCAACAGTACCAGGATGCCACGGCAGAAGACGAAGGAGAGTTTGACGAAGAGGAAGAGGCTGGAGACGAGGACGCAGCATAAATTGTGTGAAGACCCAAAGTAACAATTCGCAGGAAATACATGAACTTTTCCATATCTTGAAATTAAACAGGATGTTCTAGCTGCTTGCCTCACAACTACTGGTTTTATTTCTAGCGAATAACCAAACTTGAAACGACTCTTAGGCTTTTTTATTTCCTTAAAATGTAGGTAGGGCCTTAGAACACTCTGAAAATTTGATGTAGCAGTAACCGTATTCAAACTAGTCTTTCCGTAGTTTAAACTGTTAACGATTTCTGGACAATAAAGACAACGAATTCCTGCATATAATTACTTAAACGTATTTTCTCTAAATTTTCCGAATAGTTGCATTTGAGGTCTGCGTTATACGGAAGAGATGAAATGTATCTTGTGTGGCGACCCGGTACCACTTTTAAGCGCAAATGAATTCCTGCATCACGACATTCAATGGGGGTGGCGAATGGTAAACGCGAGACGGCGAGACTAACGTTTTTCTTTGTTCTTGGAGGTGGAAACGACACTAATGATGTTATTAATGCGGCAGCTTGCTTTTTTTTTGTTCCTGCCAACAAGTTCTGATGCAGGATATTTTTTATCCAAAACGATTGAACGGAAAGTTTGGCGCAAAGTTCGTTTGAGAGAATTTCGGCCAACGTGCCGTGGAAACTGGAATGACGGCGATTTTATCACCAATTTGCGAGTAGACAGGACTCCTTAGATTCACCGAGAAACGACAAGAATGAGGCAGTTCCATCGATGTCGATGAAAGAGTTGTTATGGCGATATGGAGCATGCGCGTTAAGCTCTTGGTGCCCAACTGTGCCCGCGTATCAGCTGCTAAATCAGTATTTGAGCGCCAGTGTGTAGAACCCTTAATCAGACTTATTTAGTTGTCGATAACAAATAGTTGTTGACAACTAAAATCCCTTGTCTGTGAAGGGCCTAAAACACCTTAATCGCGTGCCAGCGCTTGTGTCAAACCAAATAATCCGTTGTAGGAGAGAAATCACTCTAAATTCAGTGCAATTTAGAGTTTATGCAGTTATGGTCATGCGCTGCAGCTAGCGAGGAAAATCCTTAAATCAAGAACTGTAAGAAATTGTGGAGAAGGAAGAATGGCTAAATTCGAATGGAACGCTTGATCGAGCGAAAAACAAGAGCAGGAAAACCCTTCCAAGTTCAACTTCATTTCAGCGTGCTGTTTTCGCGCGCTTTTCGTTCATTCGCCAGTTGTTGCAAATCTCCATGGTAACGCAGCTACGTCAAAAATCCATTGACGCGTTTTACAAAATCAAAAGCCAACCAGTTTTTTCATTGAAGTGAGTTTGCGAAGGCTAGGGAACCAAAAATGCGTGAAATTGTACATCTTCAAGCCGGCCAATGTGGCAACCAAATTGGCGCAAAGGTTAGAGGTGATATAATTCATGGTCAAATTTATTTAAGACCCTCACTCGTCACTTTCTTGCGCCTCTCTTTCAATTTAGTTCTGGGAGGTTATCTCGGACGAGCACGGCATCGATCCAACAGGAACCTACCATGGAGATTCCGACCTCCAGTTGGAAAGAATCAATGTTTACTACAACGAAGCTACAGGTATTTTTTCAGTTTTTACTTAGAGCAAGATAACAAACAGGGAACTGTCGATTTTCTTTCACTAAAAACCGTAAAGATTGATCTTTTCAACCTGGAGTCTGGCACCACTTGCTTGTTTTTCAAAACTCTAGGTGGGAAATATGTGCCCAGAGCGGTTCTTGTCGATTTGGAGCCCGGTACTATGGATTCAGTCCGTTCAGGTCCATTTGGACAGATTTTCCGACCCGACAATTTTGTTTTTGGTGAGTAAAATATGGTCTCTCAGGAACTTACTTCATTCAAGTCCCCATGTAAAATTCATGGCGACCTGTTCAGCCAGCTGAGTCGCAATACCTGTATTTTGTTTATGAATAAAATTCCTTCCAATTCTAACCCACCAACTGCGATGATTATGACAACGGTATTTATCAAGCTTTTTAATCTGTAAGAACAAAAGGCGAGGACCTTGAAATTTCGATGCTATATTCCCTGAATTTTACCTTACTTGCAAAAAAGTTATTTTAAATACGAGACTAAAGCCTTGGGCGCCATTTTGCAAACGAGTTTTGCTAAGAGAAGGTGGAAGGATTGAACTAAATCTCCGCGGAGGGACGAATAAAAAATATCAAAGATTGCTGTAATAAGAATATTCCCAAAAGGTAAACAATGCCAAAAATTCTCTTCCCACGCCCCAACCTGTTTAGAATGCTAAGTCTCATCCCGGATGAGTGACTAAGGTAAATTTTTTAAGACGACAAACGGTCTTTTCCTGCATAATAAGGTCGCTATGCTAAGAAACGTATTTGGATTTATATATCAGCATTCAAAGTTCAATCAACTGAATAAAATGCGGAGTACAATTTAAACATTGTTAGCAAGGTAATAACCAATCTTTCATTAGTTGCGATGAAGTATGAGCGATGCTGTATTTTTTCTGTACTTGGCAGGTCAAAGCGGAGCTGGAAACAACTGGGCTAAAGGACACTACACCGAAGGAGCTGAGTTGGTAGACTCCGTACTTGATGTTGTTCGTAAGGAAGCCGAGAGCTGTGACTGCCTTCAAGGCTTTCAGCTCACGCATTCCTTAGGCGGCGGTACTGGCTCAGGAATGGGAACCCTTCTTATTTCGAAGATCAGAGAAGAATATCCTGACAGAATCATGAACACCTTCAGCGTCGTACCGTCACCAAAAGTTTCAGACACCGTTGTGGAGCCTTACAACGCCACTCTGTCCGTACATCAGTTGGTTGAGAACACAGATGAAACGTACTGTATCGACAATGAAGCCCTGTACGATATCTGCTTCCGAACTCTGAAGCTCACCACACCAACTTACGGAGATTTGAACCATCTTGTGTCAGCTACAATGAGTGGCGTTACAACTTGCTTGCGATTTCCTGGCCAGGTAAAATTCTCCAACTCTAAAGTCAGAACCAGCTTAAGACCTTCAGTTTTCAACTAATTTTTCTCTTAAATTTTCCAGCTGAATGCTGATCTCAGGAAACTGGCAGTGAACATGGTTCCTTTCCCGCGTCTTCACTTCTTCATGCCTGGATTTGCTCCCCTCACAAGCAGAGGATCCCAGCAGTACCGTGCACTCACTGTACCTGAGCTTACTCAGCAGATGTTTGATGCTAAAAACATGATGGCTGCCTGTGATCCAAGGCATGGACGTTATTTGACGGTTGCAGCCATGTTCCGTGGCCGTATGTCCATGAAGGAAGTTGATGAACAGATGTTGAACGTGCAGAACAAGAACAGCTCCTACTTTGTGGAGTGGATCCCTAACAATGTCAAAACAGCCGTTTGCGACATTCCTCCTCGCGGTCTGAAAATGTCTGCCACCTTTGTCGGTAACAGTACAGCTATTCAGGAATTATTCAAACGTATTAGTGAGCAGTTTACCGCTATGTTCAGGCGCAAAGCCTTCTTGCATTGGTACACTGGAGAGGGTATGGATGAGATGGAATTCACTGAGGTAATACAAAATGATATCAAATAATTGTTGTATTCAAAAGTATTCAACTTTTCCACCATTCAATTTTTCCAATCGCCCAAGGTTTGGGCCTCCCAGATATAAAGAAGCTGAAAAAAAATGATACATATTTTTGTTCTGACTTGAGTGAACAGTATCCAATCAAGAGAGAAAAAAGTCTACTTGTCTCTGTCTTGACTCCACCCTAGTAAAGAAGAAGATCTTAACTGACCCAAAAAGTGAGCTCAGTTATGAAATCGAGGTTGGCAAGAGAAGTTTGGCACGCTTGTGCCCTAGGTAAAATGGGATGATAATCATCCTTAGTGAATGCTTCTGTCAACGTTTCCCTCTATATGGAAGTCAAATATCACAGCCTAACAACTTGATACATGCTCTGAGAATAAAATCACGGCCAGTTCTGAGAATTAGATTTAATTGCCGCAAACATTTCAACTCTCTTTAGGCTGAATCCAACATGAATGATCTTGTATCCGAGTACCAGCAATACCAGGATGCCACAGCAGAAGAGGAAGGGGAGTTTGATGAGGAAGAAGAAGAAGGAGAGGCGGCATAAGGCAGATTTGTTGAGACCGTTTTACATTGTAAGGATATTAAAAGGCTGTTATTAAAGGTTGATTTTTTCAGAAATTACGTTTTTGTGGTATTGGTTCATCGAGACTGATATAGATATACCCTTTGTTATATGTTTGAATTAGGAATAAATATGTCAGGAAGGTTGTGGGCAGGTCTTCGTTAAAGAAAAAACAAGATGTTTCGGTGGGACCCTAATGGCTATGGAAAATTAGTTTATTATGTGATATTTGAGTGCTGCGTGATTTGCCAAATATTGCCGTTACTGTGACGTGTGAAACTCTCGGAGAATCTGCGTATTTTCTAAATCTTAGTGGCAGTTGCATTTAGGGAAACTTACATTTACGTGCGATATTAGAATATCCACAGCTAGGTCAAAAGCCTAGATATTGAGTTACTTTTTCATGGATGAGTGCCTGAAAACCTGAAACTCTTCAAGACAATACGCCCCAAAGAATCGATTTTTTCATCAGTGTCGCGAGGGACAATGCGGAAAACTCCAGCAGAACGGAGAGGGGCTGAGGGTCTCTTGCATAGTTCCAAGTATGTCAAGTATGTTTTCAGGGATGGCGATTCATCCTTTTAAGAGTTTACGAGACGTTTTTTCCACATTTTTCCACGATCTAAATTTTAATCTTTGACAAAAAGAAGAGGATTGAAAAAAAAAACTGAGCAAAACAATGGAACTGGCTTCCCTTTCTCGTCAGAAGAAGCGCGCGATACTCGTCATTTACGTGCGATATTTTGGTCATCGGTAGCTCTTAAGTGTTGGGACATGTTAGTGACTTGCGACTGAATTTACGAGAGTAAGTTTTTAACCAACGAAAAAATTAATCACTGAAGCAAGGAAGTTGAAGACGTTTTACATTTACGTTGACCGCGTACAAAATGAGAGTAGAGCCAACACATGGCCGGAATGAATACAGGAATGCCAAGATTTGACTCAATTGGCGACTGACTGCAATATAGTTTCATAGGTCGGCGAAGTTGCCAGCAAAAATGTAATATAGATTAACTGGTTTAAAAAAGGCTGCACCCCCGTTGCTGAACTCTCTTAGAACTAGAATTTCCATGTAAGCTTTTTAAAAAAGGCAGGGAGAACTTCTCTCAGACTGTTTTTTCCTCTCTATAACATTCCTCTTAAATTTTCGAGTTGGCAAAAAAAAATTGAACTGAAAGGGAGAAGAGGAAAACAAAGCGTGTACGGTAGTACTTTTAAAAGAAACCCAGTTGAAGACAACCAGCCGGAAGTGACTCGGACATGAAAACGAGGGTTTCTACGAACTTTACTGCCAAACCTACCGGTTTCTGGTCCCTGTTTTAGTTCACGCACAGTTTTTGAAAGAACAGATAGAAAAAAAAACATTAATTATTGATTGTACCGTTCAAGACGCAGATTTATCAATAGTCCGGTCGAACGGGCTAGAAAGAGGCTAATTTCCGACAACGAAATGAACCCAAACTGTGGGTTCATGCGAAGGAAAGACGCCTCGTGCTTCCCTATGTAATGCGGGAAATTATCAACGTTCAAGTTGGTCAGTGTGGAAACCAAATTGGTTACAAGGTGGTTTGATATTATGGCACCAATTTGCGTGTTGCTACGAAAATTCAAAGCGGCGTTATTTCTTTTGTCTGAGGTTTAATTTACACGTCTTAATCCTGAATGTCCGCTCTTGTCGCAGCTTTGGGAAATCCTTTGCTCTGAACATGGAATAGACGAAGAGGGACGCTATAAAGGCAGCTGTAATTCCCAGTTGGAGAAAATCGATGTTTACTTTGCTGAGGGTGCCGGTGAGTAGTGAATACTCAGTTATCCTGCTATCAAAAACTTCTCATTAAGTTCACATATCGTGGTCAAGTCTAGTTCGTACTGTGATGCATGCTGTAAAATTTCGAATAATACTGTATTTACCTTCGGGTCTTTATTATTTTCCGGGTAGAAAATAGATATGTACCGCGGTCTGTTCTTGTCGACTTGGAGTCGGGTACGATGGACTCGCTCCGTTCTGCGCCGTTCGGAAAAGTTTTCCGACCCGATAACTTTGTTTTCGGTAAGTTTGCTTTTCACTTTTATGACATGTAAATAAGTTGTGTAATCAACGGGAGCTTTTTTAAAGAGATTTAGCACTTTTGAATAAATATTGTCCCATTTATTCCTCGATTATCTAAATTGAGACTTCATCGATTAATTTGAGGAACAAGATCAAATTTAAATCATGTATTTATAGTTCAGTTTCCACTACCTTCAGTTGTTTTGTGCTCTGAATTACTGCCAAACTTTCTGTATTTTGTGTTTTCTGTGCGTGACTTAGCTTACACAGGAAACTCATGCAATTCAGAATTGTTGAACGAAAACTCAGCGTATAATAGAATAGATATAATATAGTTCATTATGAGAAATTCGGTTTATTTTTTCGTTAAACTTCATTTTCGTAGCGAATATAACATTTTACATATATTTCTTTCCGAATTGCAAATGCAATGCTCGTGTTAGGGACAGTATTTCCAATCTCGTTTAATTCTTGCTTTCTAACCGGAATTGTTATTTTGTTATCGTTACCGTTCTAAAACGCCTACAGCCAAAATTCTCCGCAAATATACACATTTGATATTCCGTTCTCACTCAATTTTCTTGAAAAAAGCAAATAAACAAAAGCGTTTAATAATAGCTCCAAATTAGCGGTTTTCTTATAGTGTTTTTCTTTGTTCATCTGTCAAATCTGCGGAAGTACGCTAATTTTTCCTATCTACGCCGCCAGCTTTTGTCAGAATGAAATTTGCATTTCTGCATTTGCAGCACACGACAGGACGTCACGAACCCGCGAAGAATATTCTAGTATGAAGCAAAATTTACCAAGACTTCACAACGCCTTTTGTTGTTCAGACTTTTCGAAAGAACATTTGAAGACTTTGGTCATGTCTTAGAAAAAATCCGATTTTAAAAGCTCCTTATTACATCTTGTTCTCAAAAGGATCAACTTTTGATCAAATGTGATGTTTGTCAAATTTCAACACGAATCAGCTGTGCTTTAGACGCGCGTAATATGGCCAATTGAGCACAAATATTAAATACCCTAGTGCCTCATCAGTGAGGCAGTTGTTTAATACCTTCTAACAAAGAAAAAGAAAAAGCTAATTGACCCAGCTGATCCAGGTTCAATGAACGATGTCGGCATAATCCTTAGAGGCTAAAACAGTTGTCTTAGACTTTTGGCAGCTTTTCTTGGCAAACAATTAAGTATGAATCCCAAAAGTTACCCACCTGTTTGACCAGTCAGTTTTGGATACAGTAACAACGGGAACTGCAATATATCTGATTAGCCAATCAGCAGAATAAAATTTTCCATTCGTGTTAACAAATCCTGTATGTTTCTCGTCCTATGCCTCGCGAACCAAGGACGAATTCAGTTATCCGTGTCTCTAATACCAGTGGCCTCTAATAGACCCGTGGTTCGAATATTACGACCTCTTTAATTGGGCAGTTTGTACAATTTCCAGTGTTTCAAAGTTCTTTTTTAGAGAAGATATTTTTAGATTGCATAACATTACGCCTTTTTTTCTCACAAATAGATTCCAAGCCCTCTCGGGTTGCAGTTGCGACCTTGTCAAACGGGCGCAGCATATTATTTCCATGCTTCCTCTCGTTCTCACTGATCCTAACAGCATGTAGGACGTTTTCCGTAGATGAAAATAGGAATGCCCTGTAGCTCCGTGGAGTAGGAGTGCACCGTAGCTCAGTAGTAGAGCGTCGGGGCGTGAAGTCCCAAGGTTTAGGGTTCGATTCCTCGTGGGGGGGTTAAGAACTTTCTTTTTCCCTTTTTTCCCACGCTCGTTATAAATATGAATGTCATCTCTCTCATCAAAATAATCGTATCTCAAACAAGATGAATAACAATGTCAGGACACACCTCTGGAGCCACTATTCAAAGCCACTGTCCTGTTTTTATTTTGTTTTGTTTTGTTTTGTTTTAAGCCGCACTGAAAAGCTTAAGTCATTTCGAATAATCCTTCTGATTCATGATTTCTCTTTCCCTCTTTTTCCTCTCGAAATGGACAAAAGCGAACCTCTTGAAAATCAACCCATTTCTAGAATCACAAGTGACACTGCCGCTTAGGGACAGTTTTATTATCTATCACAACGGGGGCAGATGATATTTTGGTTGGGGGGGGCCCACATGATTTTCAATGGGGACGTAGAGGGGGATCAGTTGTCGCCAACAGAGTTCACTGCCAATAAAGGGGGATGTCACAAGAATAGTGCAAAGCCCTATGGGGGAATGAGGTAAATTTTATCGTGACACAACCAAAATCCTCTGATTCCCCACCTTTTATCACTATTTAACAGTAAAAGTCAACTTTTCCACTATAACACAGGGGAATGTGGAGCAGGAAATAACTGGGCGAAAGGTTTTTACACAAATGGATGCAATCTCCTAGAAGAGGTCTTGGACGCGGTGCGTAAAGAAGCCGAGGGATGTGACTCGATCCAAGGCTTCCAAGTTGCCCATTCCCTTGGCGGCGGCACGGGGTCTGGGCTCGGCACTCTGATACTTTACCATCTTCAAGAGGAATATCCAGATCGGATTCTCAGCGCCATCAGTGTTTTTCCGTCGCCGAAAGTTTCTGAGATTGTTATTGAACCTTATAATGCCACTCTAGCTGTTCAACAGCTGATTGAGACCACTGATGAAGTGTTCTCGTTCGATAATGAAGCGCTATACGATATTTGTTTTCGGACGCTTAAGCTCGACACCACAACGTACTCTGATTTGAATCATATCATATCAACGACCATGAGTGGGGTTACCACATGTCTTCGTTTTCCCGGACAGGTGAGTATAAGGTAAAGTTTAAAAGGTTTTCAAATAGAGCAAGTGTGATTGAACTGCTAAGGTTTTTTTTTTTTTAACTAAGTTCGGATTGGTGAAAAATCCTATCCCTACCCTAGCCTTTAAACCATATTAGAATAATTATAAAAGTCACCCATTTACTAGAATGCTTCCTCGCTAGTTCGCATATATTTTCTCTGAACTCTCATCAGCCACTTCTTGTGAAGTTGAACTTAGTTCTGTTTGAAAAATGTTATTACTTTGATCTTATGAACTTTGGAGTGTTCCTCGATTGCGTGTCGTGAAACCAAACTACAGTTATTGCACGGCCAAACTGAACTTTGAACAAAGAGCTATATCCCGAGGAACCCTCAAGAACTTACATAGACCTCCCCGAGGCCCCTAGAACTTGAATTATTGTTTTGTCACAATTGGTTTCTAATTTTGTATCTGATTCGTTGAGAAAGTGACGCGAGTGTCCCTGACAAATCAACGAGTAGAGTAAAACTAAAACTGATATAGTCTCAGTTTACTTTCGACACAATCAGAAACCGGATCCATAATAGCACCGCAATACAAAAGAAATTATAACTTTAACTCGACAATTTTTTCTTGTTTTTGTTTTTGTTTTTTTTTTCGTTGTTTGTTTGGTTTTTTTTTTGCAGTTGAACGCAGACATGCGCAAATTGGCCGTGAATATGATTCCATATCCACGTCTTCATTTCTTTATGCCTGGCTTCGCACCGCTGACCAGCAGGCAATCACAGACTTTCCGTAATCTGACAGTTAGTGAGCTGACACAACAAATTTTTGACGCCAAAAACGTTATGATCGCATGTGATCCTAGAAATGGTAGATACCTGACGTACGCAGCTATGTTTCGCGGCAAAAAGTTATCAATGAAGGAAGTTGAGGACCAAATGAAAAGCGTCCAGGACAAGAACTGCGGACATTTTGTTGAGTGGATCCCAAATAATGCTAAAGTTGCAGTTTGCAATGTTCCTCCACAAGGAATGAAAATGTCGGCCACATTCATTGCGAATAACACAGCTATACAAGAACTGTTTAAACGACTCAATCTGCAGTTTAGGGTTATGTATCGTAGAAGAGCATTTTTGCATTGGTTTACTGAGGAAGGAATGGAAGAGATGCAATTTAAACAAGTGAGAAAAAAATTTTTGATCAATTTATCATCGCTAAGGTGCTGGGAACATTTTTGAGTCGCCAAGCGAAGGAGAAAAAATACTGCAGGGACATTTTTTTGGTTCTCGTTGCGTCCCGTATGTGGGTCTTGATTTATCTATTACCGTCACCGAAGGGACATCTCTATTTAGGGGACATTCTTCTACTCCTGAGTGTGTCCCGAATGAAGGTTCCATTTTACGGTCATTAATTTCTTCTGTTACCTAAGTGAGGACATTCTCCATATTCAGGGAACACCTTTATGAGTCCTGAAGAGACGTTCAACTGTCGTTAAGAGATCTGAATTAATTTTGCACCTTGAACAAAAAAAGTAACCTTCTTTCCCTCTACACCAGTTACATTGTTTTCTTCCTGTCCCTAAGATATTCAAAACGAATGCGGTTATATTGTGATTAGCGCGTTCAGCTGAATTGTATGAGCAAGAAATACTCGAAACTGCTTCGTGTTTTGAACGCATGGTTAACCTTTCGAGGTGTGGACGGAATAACTTTAAATTCTTTAACATGGTTTTTTTTCTTTGCAGGCAGAGTCATGTATGTTGGACGTAATTTCAACGTATCAGCAATGTCAGGATCTTAAAGTCGATACAAGTCTTGACAACTTAGAAATTACGGACTTAGAAGAGTTTGAGGATTCTCTCGAGTCATGGGATTGTTTGGGTGGCCACGTGAACGGCCACGCGAACAATTTGCCTCTCGTGACAGCGGGTCAGTGACTCTTCAACAAAGAAAGATTGCTTTGGTTTACTTCAATTTTGCATTTCTTACCATTTAAGGAATGGAACGCCTTACATGGCTTTTATGGCTACTGAGGTATCGAGCTAAAAAGCGGCTTCGAATTATTGAACATTTTGAAAACTGTGATTTATAAAAATTCATTCAGATCTCTTATAAAGATTGTCAACGTTAGGATTCGTTATAACAGCTCCAGTGTCCTTCAACGATCTGACTTTTCTAATGAAAAAGTAGTTTTATTTTTTCTGTTTGATCACGCTAGCTTAAGAAATAAATATAATCCTTTTGTAAAAGTGGCCCTTGCAATTGCTACAACGTTTCTTTTACTTTAAGCTTTAAAACTGCATGCCGAAAAGGGCTCGAGATTTTGGGAGAATATCGATAGCAGTCCGATTATTTTCGATGGCAAAAAACAAAACGGAGGAGCTGAGAAGGGTATGCAGCCCCATCCACTCTTGTACAGCAACAAAAAAATAATGAATAATTTGAAAAACTATTGCAGGTTAAATTTAACGCACAAAGGTTGCAACTGCCACTGGCAAAGAAGACGCACTTACAACTCAAAGAGGAGAGTTGTATGAATATTGCAGGAATGTTTTGTTTAATTTGCATTGTTGTGCGATACATTGCAGCAGATACTGATGCAGTGATATTACTTTCCGTTTTCTTACACCAGCGCGGATAATTTAGCATTCCACCATAACTTGCTGTAAATTAGTTGCGAAATAAATTTCGAGACTCTTTAAGTGTGGAACAACAGGCTGTTGTATTAGCCATACCACACAATATGGATTCTTTATCCCACATGGCTGGAACTGGTCCAGGAATTTCTCTTTCTTCTCTTCAACTTCTAGAATATTCATTTTTCCTCCACTCATGGTTTTGTTTCAGAACCTCATATTCAGCAGGGGTTCCGAGAACTTTTTCCATAATTGGTTGCTGAGGGTGTGATTCGCGGCTGTTCCCGGAAAGGGGCCATAAGGCGAAAACCCAAACACGAGAGTTTACTCGCAACCTCGTTCCCAGGGCCTCTTTTGTGAAAAGGCCTCGGGATCATGAATCACTAGCGTGTTGTTGATGCTATTCAAGAATGTTTGTCCTTCTTAAACCGAAAACCCAAACACGAGCGTCTATTCGTAGGCTAAACAGAGAGCGTAAGATCTCTTGCAGGCTGAAGTAGACCACCGGCAACCGTCTTTAACTTTAGATAAAAGAGAACGTCTTCAGAGAAATTCCCACAACTCCGTAATCGACCCCGCGCCTGATATAAACACTTGCCATCAATACTTCGGTTGAACTTTATTGCGCTAACAAAGTATGAGTACAAAATGACAAATGATGATGAAAAATACACCATGTGATTTAGTTTCTAGATTTTGTAGCGTGGTTTATCGCGGTATGAATGATGAAATAGCAAGTAAAAAAAGTGACCAACTGAGATTTCACAGGAAAAATTCCGCTGTAGATTCCCTTTATCCATTGCAAATCTACTATGCTTCGTGTGTGAGAGGAGTTTAAGAGGAAAGCAAGTTGTCATTCGTCTACAATAAAGTTCTCCCCGATAGTACGATATATGATTGTATGTACAGATTTCTGTGAGGAGAGTTCCGCTACAACAGACTTATTTTAAAGGACTGATATTAATAGTTTCTTCCTGTCGATGAATTAAAATATGACGACTGCTTGTTTAACAAGCGAACCTTTGATTTATGCTGCTTCACCCTCGTCTTCTTCCTCATCAAACTCCCCTTCATCTTCAGCTGTGGCATCCTGGTATTGCTGATACTCAGACACAAGATCATTCATGTTGGATTCGGCCTGCAGAAAAAATAAAGACTTGTCAATCCACGTGTATGACATAACTATTCATACACTGAAGCTCACCCTAACAAACTATGGGTTATAGTTTGTGCATTTTTTTTTTAATTTCAGACTAGAATTTTGAGTGTGTAACTCACGTTGATCTTCTTCCACCATACTCGTTATTTTTTTTATTAAATCGTCAAAATTTGGCGCTTAACAACCCCATCAACTATACTTTGCGTTTTTTTCTTTCTTTTTTTACAAGGAAGGGAATATTTCTTCCGCAGAAATTGACTTGAAATCACATGACTTGGCTTTTCAAGTTAAATCAAAGGAAAAACAAGACAAATAGATAAAAGAAGTAAGTTTCAAGACAATTTGGTGTTACTTCAGTGGGAGGTATTAAAGATAATTTGGTTTCATCAAACAAGTTGACACAGTAAAGAGCTAGTACTTCGTCAGAGCAAATGACGTAGGGTTAATTAACTCTCGCAGCGTCAGCTTAAGAAGTCCTTTACGGTGGCCAATTAACATTATCACCTCAGTCGATAAAACCAAATTATCTTGAAAAAAAATGAGATGTGCCTACCTCAGTGAACTCCATCTCATCCATACCCTCTCCAGTGTACCAGTGCAAGAAGGCTTTGCGCCTGAACATAGCGGTGAACTGTTCGCTGATCCGCTTGAACAGTTCCTGGATGGCTGTGCTGTTGCCAATGAAGGTAGAAGACATCTTCAATCCACGGGGAGGGATATCACAGACAGCGGTCTTCACATTGTTGGGGATCCATTCCACAAAGTAGGAGCTGTTCTTGTTCTGCACGTTCAACATCTGTTCATCAACTTCCTTCATGGACATACGGCCTCGGAACATGGCTGCTACTGTCAGGTAACGTCCGTGCCTTGGATCACAGGCAGCCATCATGTTCTTGGCGTCAAACATCTGTTGAGTAAGCTCAGGTACAGTGAGTGCACGGTACTGCTGGGATCCTCTGCTTGTGAGGGGAGCAAATCCAGGCATGAAGAAGTGAAGACGCGGGAAAGGAACCATGTTCACTGCCAATTTCCTGAGATCAGCATTCAGCTAAGAAATGATAAGGATAATTATTGGATTTAAATTAATAGTTATAAAGTCTCCAAACTCGGATTCACACTAGTCTAACACTTAACCCTTTCCACCCTAACATCAGTATGCATATTCCCCATACTATTCTCTATACATTTCCTACGGTGCAGACAAGGAGAATTTGTTTAACAATCAAGAGCTTCCTTAGATCATTTCCCTTATTCTCATGACCTTCGTGTTGAAGGATTCAGGGAGGTATTGTAAGGAGAAATTAGATAGTGGTCACTCTTAGGAGCTGAAGGGGTCGAGTAGTGAAAAACTGCTGTTTTATCTCAGCAAAGCCCACAGAAAACCTGCCGTGACGTTCATAAAATGTTTTGAAACTTGAGCAAACAGTTTTTTTGACGACTGGTAATTAAATGTAGCTTACCAGAGCGTTATTTGCATAGGCATTAGCTGTAATCAGTTGAGTTTTTCTTGTTCTCGAAACATTCAAATCAATAGCTTAACAGGGTATGTCACTTATCAAATAAGGTTTCCATGGTGACGTAACAGTACGCTTATTACATTCGAACAACTAGTTAAAAATGATGTGATGAAATGAAAGAAATTTAAGTTTAGCTTTTGGCCTCATAAACAGATCATTTATAGTTCTTTTGTGAAACAACAAAAGGCAACACGAATAATTTACAAAAGCGGATCACCAACGCGTGATACTTAAAATTGTTTTGCGCCACTTTTGTATCTTAGTATAATTATAAAGTAGAAGTTAGCTTGTAATCCAAAGTTAAGGTATTTTCAAGCCTTTTTTTATCATTTTTTGAGAGAATAAATCAACATTTACCTGGCCAGGGAATCGTAGGCAAGTTGTTACACCGCTCATGGTAGCTGATACAAGGTGGTTCAAGTCGCCATAGGTTGGTGTAGTGAGCTTCAGAGTTCTGAAGCAGATATCGTAAAGTGCTTCATTGTCGATGCAGTACGTTTCATCTGTGTTCTCAACCAACTGATGTACGGACAGAGTGGCGTTGTAAGGCTCCACAACGGTGTCTGAAACTTTTGGTGACGGTACGACGCTGAAGGTGTTCATGATTCTGTCAGGATATTCTTCTCTGATCTTCGAAATAAGAAGGGTTCCCATTCCTGAGCCTGTTCCGCCGCCTAAGGAATGCGTGAGCTGAAAGCCTTGAACGCAATCGCAACCCTCTGCTTCTTTGCGAACAACGTCCAGAACTGAATCGATTAATTCCGCCCCTTCGGTGTAATGTCCTTTCGCCCAGTTATTTCCTGCTCCAGATTGGCCTTAAAGAAGATACATTTTTTTAGTTCTAAGTCCCCCTAATATGAATTGCACAAAGTTAGAAAATGGTTTGGTGTGTTATATGAAAATGACATTCGACCTCAGGTGGACTGGCCACGAGAAGTTGTTATACTTAGCTTGTTTAATTACTTGAAAGGGAACTTACCAAAGACGAAGTTGTCTGGTCTAAATATTTGCCCAAATGGCCCAGATCTCACAGAATCCATGGTACCCGGTTCTAAATCGACTAAAACAGCACGCGGGACATATTTTCCACCTGGAAAGAGAAGACAAATAGACATCAGCTATCGTGAACGTGATGTGGCGGGCAAATTAAAACAAAAGAATGCGAAGTAAATTCAGCATTGCCTACCTGTAGCTTCGTTGTAATAAACATTAATTCTCTCCAACTGGAGGTCGGAATCTCCATGGTAGGTTCCTGTTGGATCGATGCCGTGTTCGTCCGAGATAACCTCCCAAAACTGAAATAAAGTCAGACCTCATTAACGAGTGCATTGATTGAATGACTAAAAAGCCTCAGATCTTCAAAATCGGTTTTTAATAGGCAAGTACTTACTTTGGCGCCAATCTGGTTTCCACACTGGCCAGCTTGCATATGAACAATTTCACGCATTTTTATAGTTATAGTGTTTCAGTTTCGATGACCACGCTTAAGTAATGTCTTACTTATTAGATAGTGCTCTAGACGGCTCACAGATTCAAACTGAATTAACTCAAGGGTCGGTTACGATTCATAAACTCTTGGTTGCCATGTCAACAAAAGGTGTCGCTTTTAAGTATGTTTGGTGTGTTTATTCCCAAGTGGAATGTAATCGACGAATTCAAAAGTCCCACATATTTAGCGTGCTCCAGTATTTGCCTTTGAAATCGTTATACAAGCTAAGTACTATTAAAATTAACGGGAGCAATAGTGCTAACAGAGCGACCTCTCGAGGGGGTGCTTATTCTGCTGCATGCTATTCAAAGCTCGTTTACACATCAAGTTAGGCTTTCATTGATAGCAACAACGATCTGAAAGCTTCGCATCAGACGATCCCTGCCGAAATTTCCTTGGAAATGTTGTCTGCAGAATTATCAAACTTTGCCAACTCTGTAACCAAGAACCAGTATTCAATTTTCAGAAATGAACGCATAAAGGCCTTTATTTGTTTTTCCTACTTTAGAGGAAAACGGATTAACGCTCTCTTTGATAAAACAATCACTTGAATATGAACTGCCATTGCTTAGGGCAAACTAATTAAGTAAGAATTTCACGGTAAACAGGCCGTTTGGAAAGTAAAAAATATCACTTAGCACGAAGCTGATAGGTTACAATTGACAATTGGGAAAGAACAGTTTTCAAGACTGACTCTGTCCTTCCTATGAAAAGAAAACCCCAGTTGTATTACGGAATGTGTCAGCAAGGGAAAAGAACAAAGGGGTTCCTAAAATGAACATTTATCTCTTACAATTAGCACTGATCCCAGTATCGTTTGTTTTTTCTCGCCCGATCGGAAAACGAATGAAAGAGATACCATATCCGCTGTTGAGTCATACATCAAAAATTAAGAAATCATTGAGCCGACGCAGTTTTTCGCGAACTAACGATTCATTCAAGAGTCAAGCAAAGGTTATTGTTTGGGACTCAGTGAGTTACAAGCATTCCAAAGTGTTACGGCTCTACGAAACGAACTTCAGTTGTGTGGAGACACGTTTTTTGATGTCACAGAAAGACCTCCTAATGTCAAAAAGATCGTAATCAAAAGAACTCAGTTAGCTACTTGTGTCATCATTGTTTGGCTCACTTTGCGTTTTTCAAACTGAATCATATTTTAGACGCCTCTTTGCAATGCTCTTGGAATTTGATTGGTTCTTCTTACATGATTCTACGCTCATTTCTTGAGCAGGTTGTTACAACAAGGAGATCAGAATAACCTTAATCAAACTCGAGATATAAAACGATTCCTCGACATCACGTGACATGGGGAGTTTGAACCCATGCAGAGACGCCCATGGCGTTTCCAAGTTACGGTTTTCATGGTTACTCCTCGAGTTCCCATGGTTTGATTTTGATTACTTTGTGCCTAGTGTGAAGGTGTAGTCTGATCGTCCGGGTGAGTGTAGTCCTGAGAAGGACTGTTGTCGGTGGTAGTGACTGACGTTTCGTTAACCAACGTTAAAGACAAAGACGAACCGAGGAACAGACAGGGAACGATTTATAAGATCAATTGTTCCGACTGCCAAGCCTCCTACATCGGTGAGACTGGCAGAAACCTCACAACAAGACTGACTGAACACAGACGGGCGACGAGGAAAGGTGATGTCAGCAATCACATTGCTGAACACCATCGACTTACCAACCACAACATTGACTGGGACTCTGCGCAATGCCTAACCTACAGCACTGACTATTTTCAACGACTGACTCTGGAAAGCTGGTTTACTAACTTAGAACAGACTCCCCTAAACAGATGTCAACAACTACCCGCTCCATACAAACGACTCATTCACGACATAAACATCACAAACGACCGAAAAAGAAC